AGGGAGGGCCCAGTCTATCCCTTTCAGTCCAAGCAGTTGTAAGGCATATATTTTGATCCACACTCAAGCACATTAGAATAAGTCTTGGGCCTGGAACACTTTCTTACCCGCAGCCTGTGCAGGGCTTATCTCCTTGTGTAGGAATTTTTCCTTTCAGGCTCAATGTATGTGCCTTTACTTGAGGCTGTACATCAATGACCTCAGGCCACTCTCTTTTGGTAGTTCACACTCCCTCAGAGGGAGGTTCTTCTGTTGTGACACAGGAGGCAGCCAGTTGCCTTTTCAGCTGCTCCAAGACTCCATTACTTACTCATGGGATACTGATTCACGCTATTGGAATTGTTCTTGTGATGTCTCTTTGTGAGTATAGCATCATTTGTATGTCCAGTGCTTGACTGTGCTATTTTCCTTGGTGATGCAGAGATGAAGATGCAGTGGGCAGAAGTGTTTAGACTTGTTTTACTGGTAGCTCACATTATGATGATCTAGCCTCCTTAGGAGTTGGCAAACTGTGTGGTGTCTACTCAACAATATCTCATGTCTGTCTATCATCTATCTATTTCTCTATCTATCTATCTCAACATTTTTGATATGCTAGATATCTTGAGGGGAGGTTAAAGTGAATAACATAGTCTGTGCCTTGAAACAGCTGACTTTCTGGCAAGTAGATGTAGTAAATCACATACCCACCCTTCTTTCTTCCTTGCCAAAAGACCTCTGATTTTGTTGGGGTAGGGACAATATGCCAGATATGATAGGTCAAAACTGGTTTTAAGCCAGTGATTAGGTTCTAATTCTAAGAGGATGGGACAAGTTTTGCTTTTCTGATGAAAGGAAAACATGCCTGATACCTCTTCCTTTGCCTCTTCTTCCTGCTGGATCCTTGGACTTGATTTCTAAAACAGTATTAATCATCTTGCAACTGTGGGGGAAAATTTAAGAGAATCAGAATCAGAAAATCTTACTATGTTTAGGCCACTGTCTCAAAATGTTTAGGACTAGATTTTCTGCAACTGGAAATAGTCCTACAAAAAGGGAGGGGAAGTAAGAATAACAAACCTCATGTAAGGACAATATAACAGATAGGTTTTACTGGGTGGCTTGGAGGAGGGAGAGAAGGAAGGCTTCATGAAAGCTGTAACATTTGAGACTTGGGCAGGGCTATGAGGTAAATTCAGACTGGAGGATAGAGGGATTGTGAAATTATAGGCAGAGAACTGCATAAGGAAGGGCATGTGTGGATCTATTTGGGGATTTGTGAGGAGCTGAGGGTGGCTTGTATATAATATTCAGGGAGAGGAAATGGTATTAAGTCCAGAGATGTCATTTGTGGAGTACCCTAAAGACCAAGGTGTAGTTTCACTTTGGCTCTGTGAGCATTAAGGAGGTGAGACAGTGACATAATCAAAGGTGCAGTTCAGAAGTTTGCCTTGCTGTCCATCATTATGATGGGTTGTTGGGGAGGAGATCAGAGATTGAATAGGTCATTACAATAGTCCAAGTGAACGAAAACAAAGACTTAAAGTAGAGGTGGATATAAAAAAGAGAACAGATTGAGAGACACAGTCAAGGTATGGCCTGATAACATCTCTCCTTCCATGGAAAGACTTGTCCTTGATTTTGGAATCAGGAGATAGGGTTTCCTCATGGCTCTCCCTCTTCTGTAGCATAGATCTCCTATTCCCTGATTCTCTATCACAAATTCTTTAGATCCTTTAATACCAGACTCAAATCCCTTAAAAGGGTCCATATGTTTATCAAGATTGCAAGCAATAACCAAACTGTGGTACAATGATACAATAGAATACTAATCAAAAAATGATCAGACATGCAATTGCATGTCTGAAATGCAATTAAATTATGTGAGTAAATTAAGCTGGTCCAAAGAAGTATATCCTGTATGATTCCATTCACATAAACAGGAACAGACAAAACTAATCTACCACCAGACAAAAAGTCCAGAATAGCAGTTGCCTTTGAAGAGTTAAGAATTGATTGGTGAAAGGAATCTTCTGAGATGATTGACAGACATTTGGATCACAGGCATGTTTTTGTCAAAACCTGCAGAATGCTACACTTAAAACCTGTACTTCAATATGTAAATTTTACCAAAACAAATAAAAAAAACCCAAAGGTAAACATATTGAATTGTAATGATATACAAGCTGAGGAATCTAAGGAGGAAGCATAGTGATACCTACAACTATCTTGGAAAAGTGTTGAGATGTGATGGGTAGATGACAGGATGCCTACATAGGTGATACAGAGATTGTGAAGTATTAACTGATAGGATCTAGGGAATGGGGAAACAGAAGTTTATAATTCTTTCAACTTTTCTCTGTGATTGAAATAGCTCATAATAAAATGCTGGGGGAGTGGGGTGGAATTTGAGTTTTGCTAAATTATCTACTAAAGAGGACTGGCAATGAGAAACTAATAGGTTCTTTCAAGGGTACTCTGATCTGGGGCTGAAAGAAGTACAGTATCATTCAGAGTCCCTTTCCCAAAGGATTTTGTATGGAAGGTGCAGTGGAAAATCTGTTCTCTCTTCATTTTCCCTGTCTTAGTGTCATTGACTCTTTGTTGATGAATCCCTTTCATGCTTCCAAGTTTTGTTTTGTGTCCTATGGCCCTGGGCTAAAGAAGTACAAAGAAACCACTCTAAAATTTGTCTTCCATTAAATACATATCACAATGATTTTGGTTATCAACTGCAAAGATAACTGAAATATGATATATATATATATTTCTTCTAAAAATATAAAGAAATGCCAGTGTGTGTCAGGTAAGCTTCCTGGTCTACATGAGGCCTGCTGGGGAATAGATAGAGCAGGAGCAGCTAATTAGAAATGGCCACTAAGGTAATTTTACCTTTGTCATAGGAGGAACACAATTTCATGTAGATGGTAGGATTTTCCTTCCTTTGTGGTTGGCCAGGGACTCGATCCCTTCTGGCAAGCAATACCTGTTCATTGAAGTGTCTTTAATTCTATTTCCACTACTCATTTAACTATGTATTTCCATTTTTTTCCTTTCAGCTGGAACACTTTTGATCACAAAATTCTCTTTCAAAGATAGTTATTTTTTTTGAAACTTTTCAGCAGCTGGTAACCAACCTTTCTCTCATGAAGTCATGTTGCTTAATTAGGTCATTTGCTTTATAGTTTTTAGTTATGAACTATTTTTCTTTTTAAATCTTGTTATAGGACCTCTATTAGAGCTTTCTTACTGTGTATCAAATCTACATATTACCTTCTCTCATCTCCTGCAACATCTACCTATTACAATTTGATGGATTTTGTTTTTTTCTTCAATTAGATATCCTAGAGAGAGGAAATAATATTTCAATTTTGTTCCCTTCCTTAGAGTTCAAAATCATTCTTTTTGATTTATGAACTTGACTTCAGAATCATTTCAGGAGCTGGTTTAAAATAGAGACTCGAGGACTCACCCCGATACAAGTTTATTGAGAGCAACTTTTTGGGAAACACTGCCTATTAGGATGTGAGTATGTTACTTAATTTCAATCTCAGAAATACAAAATGTTCTAACATGAATATTTAGGACATATATGCAAGTTTTATTGCATTTACATTTTTTGCCTCAAATTCTCACCTTTTCTAAGTGTAACTAGAAGAAGTAAGACTGATGTCCCATCTTGAAAGACGAACAAATGAGGCACTGTTTAAGTCTGATGCTTTCACAATTGATCTTTAAAGTTGTGTAGGTGACCTTGGCTTATTAAAGTTACCTTTCCAGGTCTTAATAAAGTTACCTTTCTAGGTCTTAAGCTGACTATGGAGATCAGTTGCTGTAAGTCTTTGAAACTTTATGTGAGATGTTTAAAAAGACTTAGGAACTAGTGCAACTTATTAATAATTTCTTTATTAAAGACATACATAAAAATTATAAAATAAAATGGTTTTAAAAATTGAACAGAGAAAACAATAGTTCCTTGCTCTCTCCCTATCTCCTTAACCTCAATTGCTCTTTTTAGAGGCAAGAGTTTTCCATTCTTTTAGCTTTTCCATCTGGTACTTATCTGGTTCTCTCCCCTATCTCCCTGCATTAACTTTTCCTTTAGTTTTTCAAATGAATGGATATTTATTTTTTTAACTTTCTTACACTTAGAAAATTCTAGCACTTTCCTGCCTTTCCTCCCCAGGTCTCCAGAGCAATGACCTGAATTCTCTGGGCAATTCCCCCCCCCCCCAATAATTATTTCATCATTTGTTACTTTACATATTATCTAGTGATTTCCTGATATGATAAATGAGGATTTAGGTCTTACACCACACTCCTCGATTTTCCTTTTGTCCCCAGAAGAGTTACCAGACTTAGTGGTATCTTAGTCCATTTGGGTTGTTAAAACACAACACCATAAACTGGGCAGCTCATAAACAATAAAAACTTATCTCTCACAGTTCTGAGGGTAAGAAGTTCAAGACTGTGGTGATGGCAGATTTGGTCCTTGAATATACTGCATTTTAATTGATATTGCTAATTTATAGTGGATTGTACTAATCTACAATGCTTAGATACCTAATAATCTTTTTGCTAACATGATGGGTAAACATGTCTTAATTTCTAGCTTCTAACATTGGTTTCTCGCAACATCTATTTCCAATTGATTATTTCTTTGAATTTTTAATTTTAGCCATTACACTTATCACTATTCTTCCTTTTTTAAATGAGTAAGCTATCTTAATATTCTATGGAATTTCATTAAAGATCAGAAAGGTTTTAAAGGTCTCATGCCTTCTCTTCTCTTTTTTTTTTTTTTTTTAAGATTTATTTATTGTGCATACAAAACTGGGGTACAGGCCAGAGGCTCAGGGGCGATGAGAAGCTTCACCAGAGACAGAGTGGGGAGCAGAACAGGCAGACTGACGGAAGTACACTGTTGAGGGGAGCAGCGGGTGGGCCAGGAGAGGTCTGCCATACCATGTGGTCACCTCCGGGGCAGGCTGAAATCGAACTCATGTGGAAGTGGCTTTAGATTCTCAGTGCTGTGCTTTAACCTGCTGCGCCACCAGGGAGGGCCTCATGCCTTCTCTTTTAACCATCAAAAAGGTAGTCTCCTACTTTTACCTTGCTTCTTTATTATCCCTATTGAATATGCTGGTGTTCTCACTTAGTGATTCTGAGTGAGCAGAACTTTTTTCAGAAGTATCACATGCACTGGGGAACTCACAGTCACTGTTTTGATCTGATTTTCTTCTGTTATCTGTTCTAGCCCTTGTGTTTATAATTCATTTCTGACTTTTCAACTGCCTAGCTCCTATCTCTATGGGCCCTGGTTTCAAGTCGTGTTATCTGTGGACTGACTCTCCCATCTGGAGCTGCTTTGGTAGATATGATATCCAGGGAGCCTAAGGCTATATCTTTCATAGGCATCTAAACAGTAAAAGCAAGAAATATTTCTTAAGTGGTATCTGATATAGTCCTGTTACGATTAATGGGAAATATACACACAATGCGTGGAAATAAAATCAATACAGATATAAAATCAATACATTTAAAAAATATCAAAATATATAATTTTTGGAGGGGGAAAACTTGAAAAAGATCAGAAAACACCTTCTCATTAATCATTCTTTTCATATACTTCAAATTTGTACTTAATGCCTTTCTCTTCCTGGACATCAGAAAGAACACCTGGGTATCTGTAAAAGAAAAATAGGTATAATTAAATAATGTATTAATTAAAAAGACAGCTTCCCTGACACTCAGCCAGAAGGCATCAGTAATGTATAAAGATAAGTTTTCTCCACAATGGTAAGCTACTATCAAGCTGGATGAGTATGATGCAAATACACTACATGTATAAACAGTACAAAAAAATTCAAACTGTAAAGACAATTAGAAAATGAACAATGTAATTCCTCCTCTCCTTTTAACTCTTGAGTCTTCCCCAAACTAACCACTGCTAATTTTCTTTTGTCTTTCTACTCTATTATCCAGATTAAATGAACTTTCTTAAGAGCTTTTTGGGCATCTTACACTTGATATTGGTTTTCTTAGGTGAACAAACGAAAAAGGAAGTACAACTTTAGGTTGTTTAGACAGAACTATGTGTCCTGTGTGGTGATCCTTGATTATTGTTTAATCAGTGGCCAGTTGCTGTTCCAATTCCCCAGGGTGTGGCTCACTGTACTTCTTCACAAGAATCACTGTTTTATCTGATCTTTTCTACTCCACAATGCTTACTGAAGTACATGTAACTGTCAGCTAAAAAACCTAGGACACTTGTGGGCATGTTTCAAGAAGTAGGATTACTGGGTCATGTGATAATTCTATTTTTGTTTTTGAGGACCCATTATACTGTTTTCAATACTAGTTATACAATTTTAAATTTCTACCAACAATGCACAGGAATTTCAATTTCTCTACATTCCTACCAACAATTGCTCTTTCTTTTATTTTTTAAAACTGTGGTCAGAACTTTGAAGAGATATATGCCCTCCTATGTTCACTGTGGCATTATTCACAACAGCCAATATTCATCAACAGATGAATGGATTAAAAACATGTGATTTAAGCCCTCCCTGGTGGCGCAGCGGGTTAAAGCACTGCACTGAGAAGCTAAAGCCACTTCCGCATGAGTTTGATTCCCGCCTGCCCCAGAGGTGACCACATGGTGTGGCAGACCTCTCCTGGCCCGCCCGCTGCTCCCCTCAGCAGTGTACTTCCTCGAACTGCCTGTTCTGCTCCCCACTCTGTCTCTGGTGAAGCCTCTCACTGCCCCTGAGCCTCTGGCCTGTACCCCAGTTCTGTATGTACAAAAACAAACAAACAAACAAACAAAAAAACCATGTGATTTATACATACAATGGGATATTATTCAGGAATTAAAAGGGAAATTCTGTCATAACAACAGCACGAATAAACTTGGCACACATACTAAATGAAATGAGCCAAATACTTCATAACCCTCCTTATATAAAATCTTTAAAATTCTCAGACTTATAGAATCAGAGAGTAGACAGACAGCTGACAGGGGGTTGCATAAGGAGGAAAAAGGGATACAGTTACAGGGATGCAAAATGCTTAAGTTTTAAAGATCTGTTGTGCAATACTGTGCCTATAATTAAGAATTGTATTATATACTTAAAATTTTATTGAGAGTAGGTCTTATATTGTAGTGACTTTTAACAAGAAACCAAAACCCAGATCCTCTGTTGAAGGCTGTCCTGACCACTCTATAACCCCAATCTTGGTGCACTTACACAATACTGTGTAGGTTGTACCTCACTATGGCTGAGGTGGGGGGTCAGGAACACCTTCTTTAATCAGACTTGTGTTTGGCTCTGGGTCTGCTGTATGAAACCTGGTTAGCCATAAACAATCTTTATCCTTATAAAGAATTCAGCACTGTACCTGCTACCCTTAGTGCTCTACAAATGTTACCTATTAATACTGTCTGTCTGTTTTGTCTCATCTATAATGAGATAATAAGGAAAAAATTTTAAAAATCTTATGATACCTAATACAGTGTTGAGTAATAAGAACTAACTCTTTGTTTACTAATTAGAAATCATGCTATTTTGATAAATATATAATTAGAAACATGAGGTAACAATAACATAATGTGTAAGGAAAAGAAAAAGGTGTTTTCTCTTGAATAATTTATATCTCAGAGGAAGAAGCTAGGCTTCTATTTACTAACCATTTACTAAGCTGTTTCTGTTCACTGTTTTAGTATCAGTGTAATTTTTTTCTCTGAAGAATAATTTTACTAATCCTTTAAACCATTACTTTAGTTTCTTTGAAATAGATTACCAGAAGCAACAAATTGTGTGTGTGCATGTATAAAATCCTGGAGTATCAAGATTGTTAATAAATAAAATGAAAGCAAAGTATGAAGCAGTTATTTCTAAAACCATGAATAAACTTAGAAATAACCTATTATATATGATGAGTGACTAAAGTATTAATGCTTATCTTTTCTGTGAAACTGAAATGCAGCTTTCACAAAACTTAATTATAAAAAACATCTTTTAAAAATGCTTCATTCTGTCACACTCACATATAATGATTATAACTACCACATAATCACAATCCTAAACTCTACTAGAGAATAAACTGTCACTTTTGAACTCTGAGGTTAAATCTAACAGGATTTAGAAATACCATCCATTTGTTATGAACCACTCAGGGACAGACTCCCCTTTAGAATCTTCAAGCATCAAGGAAGCCAATGAATATAAACATAAGCTCTGAATAGACAGGATCATGAGAATAATAGAGATCATTTGAAGGAAAGTCTAAGGGTGAGGTAAACAGAGCTCTTGAAACAGTTGTCTAGAAGAAACAAACACAAGTGAAATAAAATACAGAAGGCACAAGCTCAGGAGTAGAGGAATTACAGGTAATAGGGACAAATATGGTAGGATCCATTTGGACATCTGGAAGTGATGGAAACAGCAGAGGAAATGTCAATTCCTTCAAAACCTACAAACATACTTCAAGTGGTCCCCTGAGAAGGGGCCTAAGTCCCAGCTCTAGAGCAACTTCTACCTCAAACCTTCCTTCTGGTCTATCATTTGACCGCATAGTCACATATGGAAGGTTGTTAACTAGAAGGAGAAGGCTGTTTGGGGCTCATTAAGAAGACTGCTGGTATAAAATAATTGGGTCCTCTGGTTTAGTTGAAGACTAGTATGAAGCAGTCTGCGATAATGTTTTCTTCAAGCCAAGATGAATGAAAGCAATTTCTCGGAAGACAGGCTGGCTGGCATGGTGCTCTCAGAAAGATAATAGTATGGATAGGACTCACAGTGTAAAAGTAGCAGACACAAAGTAACACCATCTCACTTTGTTAATGTTATGTTATGCTTTTAGGTTAACATCATTGGTGGCTTCATCTATATTCTAATTTTATTATTTTCTTGCTTCATTATAGTGCTCTTTAATGTTTATTTCATTATACTAGTGCGCTTATGACCAAGAAGTGTGATGTTAATAAACAATATTTTTTTTTTAATTGAAATCTATGTAATCCACAGAGGTCCCCTAATAAGGATAATGGGAGTCTGAACTAAGTGGTAGCTGTGGGAAAAAAAGGAGAAGGAATGATCAGAGTTCATTTCTGGACAAGAGGGAGCAAAACCTCCCTCTGGACACAGAGGTTTTGAGTGAAAACAGCTTAATAATTGGGTCATTTTACAGATTTCTAAAGGTAAAATATATTCTCTTTGTTTTCAGAGGTTTCCTTTTTTCCCATTTCATCAGAGACTGACCAATTCTAAATCTCCCCTAAGAGGATTTCCTCCATGACACATAAAAGAGGCTGTTATATTGGTACAGACTTGATCAAATACACAATGAAAAAAAGGACCTTTCATCATTTTCTTCCATATCATTTTTCAGAAGGTCCATTTCAGAGCAATATTCTTGGATTTTGGCTTTGGTTAGCAGTTTCCTAGTCCAATATAGTCACCACTAAAATTTTCTAAGACATTTAAAGAAGAATTACTACCAATTCTTCACAAATTCTCTCATACAATAGAAGAGGAAGAAGGAGAATTTTTCAACTCATTCTGTGATACTGGGACATTCTGATAGCAAACCAGGGTGAAGACATTACCAAAAGAAAAAAAGAAAGAGACAAATATCAAATATCCATTTTGAATATAATATAAAAATCCTCAACTAAATATTAATAAATGGAATCCAAACATATAAAAATGGTTCTACATTATTACCAAGTGGATTTATCCCAGAAAGGCAAAGTTAGTTTAACATAAAAACAATGTGACATACAACATTATTAATAGTATATTAAGTATTAATGTATTTTAAAGGTAATACCCACATGATCACCTCAATACACTCAGCAAAAGCACTAGATAAAATCTAATACCACCTCATGATAAAAACTCAGTGAACTAGAAGTAGAAGAGATCTTCCTCAATATGTAAAGAGCATGTATGAAAATCCCATAGTTAACATTTCACTTAATGGTTAAAGACTGAATACTTTCCTTCTAAGGCCAGAAACAAGAAAAGGATATCTGCTCTTGTTACTTCTATTCAACATTGTATTGATGATTCTAGCCAAGGCATTTAGACAGGAATAATAAACATTCAGATTAGAAAGAAAGAAGTAAATCTATCTCTACTTACAAATGATATGCTGTATATATGGAAAATCATAAGGAATCCACAATTAGAACTAAAAAATGAGTTCAGTAAGGTCTCAAGATACAAGATCAATAAGCAGATTATCTATGTTTTCTATGTATTACCAACAAACAGTCTGTAAAGAGACTAAATAAGAGCTCTATTTATATTAACATCAAAATTACTTATGTAGATATTTCACAATGAAGTGCAAGACTCATACACTAAAGCTATATAATGCTATTGAAAGAAATTAAAAGACCTAAGTAAGAAGACATTACATTTAATGGTTTAGAAGACCGAATGCTGCTAAAATGGCAACACCAAAGTAATTTATAATACCATCCCTGTCAGAATCTTAATTTGATTTTTGGCAGAAATTGACAAGCTAAGCATAAAATACAGAAATGTAAGGGATACAGAATAGCCAAAACCATCTTAAAAAATAAGAGCAAAATTGCACTTTACAAAAACTTTTTGAAGAAAACAGGAATGGCTCTAAATATAACACCAACAGGATAATTGTCAAAAGAGAAAATAGAAAAACTCGATAATATTAAAATGAAAACTTTTTTTGATGCAAATTCAGAAAATGGGAGAAAATTTGTGAAGCAAGAACTGATACTACTGCAATATGGACAAACTTAAAAGTCATATGCTAAAGAAGACAATTCCAAGAAAAACTACTTATTCTATGATTCTCTTTACATGAAATATCTAGAAAGGAATAGCAATACAGAGAGAAAAAGATTAAAATTTCTGAAGGGGAGGAAGTTGACTTCTTCCCATTTTGATCCTGGAGTAGACATCACTTTTCAGAGAAAAATTCTCAGACTATACAGCATCTACCATATCACAGTACTTCAGTTTTCGGCACATCATTTTTTTTGATGTTTATTTAACATTCTCCACTCTCCCTTTCTACCACAGAGAATGTAGCTCCTGGTGACCAGTGACAACTGTCATTGTAAGTATGATTTCTTCTGATGCTAAACACAGATTGATGACTCTCTAAATTTCAGTAAAATCATTAAAATCTGTATATTCCCAAGTCTGTTAAAGCATATTTCCAAAAATTCCTACAGTATTTGTTCATAAATTACCCCAAATCTGAAGAGACATACTTATTTCTATAATCTTAAGTAAGAACTCAAAGAGTGCTTCAGATTAATAAATAAATTTTACTTACTCTGGGAGAAGTTTATATTTCTTCAAATCAATTTCTGGAAAAAATGTATCACTTTCAAATTCTTGCATGATCCTTGTCACAAACAGTCTAATATGGCCTGATTTATTTATGGCTTCCTTTGAAATAAAACAAAAGGCATCAATTTCCTTATTCATCTGTATGAAAAGACAGAAATTCTTAAGATTTTTGTTTGCTTATTTATATAGTCAAGTTTCAATTAAGTATGAAGACAAGCTATTATCACATTACCTCCAGAGTATGCTGTGTAAATATCCTATTCTTCAGGGCCTACCTGGTGACACAAGGGGTTAAGTCTAGGCACTATGAAGATATCTGCAGTCACTTAGCTTGAGTTGGCTCTGGCTAGGGAGTTAACCCACATGGTGAGCAGACCTCTACTGTCTCACCCACCCATTGCTCCCCACGGTAGTATATTTCAGTAGATCTGTCTGTTCTGCTCTCCACTCTGTCTCTGATGAAGCCTCTCACCAACCACCTGCCCCCTACCCCACACCTCTGGCCTATACCTTAGCTTATGTATGCATAAATAAATAAAGTAAATCTTCAGTTTGGGTCCCGCAAAGTATGCCTTAGCTGTGTTCAGAATGGCACCACCAATCATCAGCAATTATGAGTGCATTTAAACATAAACCTTGTTTTCTAGTTTGCTTAATCTGAAGTATCTTTTCATTTGAGCATTCATTTTTAAGGAACAGGTACAGTGGTAGTAATTTATCTGCCTCTTGTTGGTAATGACTGTATTTGACATCATATTTTTAATATTCTCAAACTATAGTTGATTAAAAATATAAAATAATAAAAATCATGAGTCCTAAGATCAATCCAAGAACACAAGTAACTCCTGTCCATCAACTATCTTATAGGAAACACATATATATCAGGTGTTGGTTAGCATCAACATTTGAAATAAGGACATGGAATTAAATTCCATTTTTATTTTCAATACTACAATTTATATTAAATCATTTATTCTCTCTCCCCAACCAAATAAATATTTACCAATTCTTATTTAACCAAAAGTGAATAGAACTAACCACAGCAGGATTTGAAGAACTGTATCAAAGTTAACGATACATGGCAAGGTCAGATGGTAAATATTTTAGGCTTTGTGAGTTGTATAGTTTTTGACCTATGTAGGCAAAAGCAGCCATAGACAACATTAATTACTGTGTTCCAGTGATACTTTATTTATAAAATAAGCTGGTAGGCCAATTTGGTGAAGGAAAGATAAGTCTAAATGTTCTACAAGATAGTGTGATATGAAATAATGCAAAGTTATCACCTAGAGGTGCTACTTCATTATTATATACACATAAATACAAGTTGTAGAAATGGCTTACTTTTAAGTACTTAATTCTGTTTAAAGAATATATTTTTATTTTATCTATTTATTTATTTATCTTTTAAAGATTTATTTATTTATCTTTTAAAGAACTGGGGTATAGGCCAGAGGTGCAGGGGCGATGAGAGGACTCACCAGAGACAGAGTGGGGAGCAGAACAAGCAGATTGACAAAGTACACTGCTGAGGGGAGCAGCAAGTGGGTCAGAAGAGGTCTGCAGTGCCATGGGGGAGCTCTCTGGCTGGGGATCAAACTCAGACCCTAGTAGTGATAGCACTGAGACTTAACCCCTAGGTCATTAGGGATGCCTTACAGAATACATTTTTAAATGCACATGACCTTTGAAATGAATACTAGGTACAAAATAAAGAACTAGGAATCTAAGAAATAGTTTTTATTGACCAACTCAGGATTCTGATATACCTCTTTTTTCAAAAGTAATTTTAATGGTACCTATGCTACCACAATCCACCAAAAGACAGGGGCTGAACTTTTCCTTCCCATAAATGTTAACTTTTTATTAGTATTTTATAAAAATCAAAGAATACTACTTACTATCCTCATTATTTATTTTATAGAGCTGTAAGTTATTTACTACCCATAAAAATGGAATATTTTCTCATTTACATCCTACTTACCATTGGAAAACCACATAACACTTTTCCATGCCCCCATGGAATTTATATGAAAATTGAGGAAAAGTTTTCTGTTAGTAAAAATTCATATACAACCTGTCAGTGTGTAGCAACTGAGAGCCCATCCCTTTTTTAGTAAGATATAGATTTGTATTTGAAGAAAAGGGGCTAACTTAATGTACCCAGGGTGTATCCGGGAGTAGAAAGCAGAATTCTAAGGGAAGCAAAATTCTAAGGTAAGGGTTCGAAATGTTTTTAAATTGAAAGCTTCAAAAACTTTTGAATTGAAAATTGACTGGTAAAACTTAAAAACTTAGTTTTTATAATTAGTTTGCATAGTACTATCAATAAAACAAAGAATTCAAGTTGATAATATGTCTTACTCACAATAGGGGTTATATGGTTTCTTTACTTATGGTAAATTTTTTTTTTAATGTTCAGATGGCAGGGAAGCTAAAAGAAAGTAAGGTAGAATATGTGTTTATATTTACAGATAACTTTGCTTACCTTATAAACAGAACTGCCTCCTACTATCCAAACCATATCTACTTTGTTTGTTAATTCTGGTTGTTCAATAAGTTTTAAGGCATCATCCAGACTTTTGGCAAGAAAATGAGCCCCTTGTGGAGGTTCCCTTTGGTTGAAACAAGAGAATTACAAATAATTTTATTAAAATTCATTCATATTAATCAAATGATCTGAATAGGATGCAGTCATTACGAAGCTAAAATCATCATAAACATGAATGTACACAATGTTACACAAAGTAACTAACATGAGCACAGTCTATGAAAAATTATTCAATCAATGAAAAATAATTCAATCCATATTTGTATAGGTATGGTCCACCATGAATCAAAAAAATCATGGCTACCTCATTATATATACAGTGGACAGGACACAAACCAGTTTCTAACGGGACGGGGTAAACATTCATAAGACTATAAAGGGAACTTGTGCGGTGGTAGTGTTCTAAATCTTTGCCATGCTATTACATAGCTGTACCCATTTGTCAAAACCAAGCAAACGTACACTTAAGACTTGTAACATATGATTGGATATATTTACATCAAAAGAAAAAACTGCAGAACTCTAAATGATATACATGTTCAAGTATTTATGGAAAAATATACTAATACCTACAATTTATTTTGAAATGCTTAAAAAGAACAATACTGATAATGGATGGATGATAAAACAAGCATAGTAAAACAATAGAATTGGGTATACAGGTGTTTACTAAATAAAGTTACTCTTCTATGTTAGAAGGTTTTCATGATAAAATGTGAGAAAAAGAATAATAGTTTGAATGATAATAGTGTGGTATGATACTCAAACTATTATTATGTGGTTATCTTTGGGGGTAGGAATAGGACATTTATGTTTCAAACAATATAGAAATGGATGATGTACTTAAAAATAAACAAACGATTACTTGTGTAATTAAAAATCCAAAAGGGGGAACATTAATTAATTTCAGTGTTTACATTGACAAGCTCAATCACTCCCAGCTCCAAAAATTTTTGGGTACGCAGGAAGAAGGGTTGCAATTCTCTATAAATGAAGAAACAGGCAGAATTAGGCCATCACAGTAATTGGACAGAAAATAGAAATTACATTTTAATGTCAAGTTCTTAGGCTGATGCTTTAAAATATTACAAATTGCCTTTGAACTATTAGTTCTATCAATAATTAATCAAGAGCTAATGGGGACTGCCTGACTGCCTACTCCCTCACTCATCTCGACATATATACTTATTTCACTATTTGTCATCCCTAAAGGATTTAAGATAGTGCCTAGACTATATTTTGACTCAAAGCTGAAAAAGGATGGGAATAATTGAATACAGAAGAAACAGACTTGAGTTTGTGGAGAAGATAGCTTAATAAAAGTCCACCATAACTGAGACAGTGAAGGCAATTTTAGTAACTCAGGATGGTGAAGTGAGGAGGGTAAAATGGAAAATGGTGATTTAGGAAATGACATATGGAGAAAACTAGAAGCGGTATCTTAGACATTATAATGTATGGCCCTTCCTGGTGGCACAACAGGGTAAAACACAGCACTATGAAGCTACTGCAGCCACTGCAGTCCAAGGTGGCTCTCTGGCCAGGGAGGTGACCCACATGGCATGGGAGACCAGTGCTGACCGGTCCACTGCTGCCCTCAGCAGTGCATTTCAGTATATCTCCCTGTTCTGCTCCCCAGTCTGTCTCTGGTGAATCCTTTTACTCTCCGCACCTCTGACCTGTATCCATTCTGTATGCATAAATAAATCTTTAAAAAAAAAAAATTACAAAGCAAATATTTACTCCAAATGACTAGTACCTGGTAGCAAATTTTTTGGGGTTACCTTGAGGATTCATTTTTTTCTTACATGGGGTGGTAATAAAAAAATTGGATATCTCTAAAAGCTTTCAGAAGCAATGATAATTTAAATGTGTAAATTTCTCCATTTATTTTGGACCTAGCCGTACCCAGCACATAACAGATACTCAGAATATGTGTGTAACTGGCCAGCAAGCAAAAATAAACTATAAAAATTTTTCCTAACTATATTCCTATTTCCTTGGCATGCTTGAAATAAAAACCTAAAATTTTCTCTGCCTTGAAAAAAAGCAAAATACACCAACAAATATTATATATAAATACATAAGAAACAACCAAACCCAATTACATTCACCACGGGGCGGGGGGGCCATAAAGAAGAAATTAGACTCATCAGTTGAGGAGATTTGCTGGCTCAACTAAATATCCTTCCCATTGAGACTTCTTTATGTTTGTTTAGCTTAAGATAGCCATAAATAAACTTGAATAGCATTCAAGAATATGTTATTAAAGAGTCTCTGAATTTGGATTCCCTTCAAGTAAAAAGGTCATCAGAATATCCTAGCAACAAGGAGGCAGTGGATAATATGAAGATTCAGACTGATGGTTAAGATAAACATGACCCAAAGGGAATCAGTGCAATATTCTAGTACTTTCTTCCAGGCTTTTACCTATTCCATTTACAAGTGATTGGGAGAAATATCTAAGAAAGCCTGAATACTATTAGCCTATTTGTGTAATGTTTTCTCCTTCCTATAGTTTGGTGGTCTTTACTATCTTCAACTGGGTAGCAAAGAGCCCTCCTTATTCACACTAATCTAGGTGGTGTGAAGGTATTTTGTAGATGTGATTAAAGTCAAAAATTTTTATAACTTTAATCAGTTTGGGCCTGATTCAACCAGTTGAAAGGCCTTAAGAGCAAATCTGAAGCTTGCCTGAAAGTTGATCTTTGGATAAATAGCAGCTTCAGTCTCTGCTGGAGAGTTCTACCCTGTTCTTCCTGATGGTCTGTTTTATAGATTTTTGGGTTGTTGAGTCAAGCCCCCACAATTGTGAAGACCAATTCCATGCAATGAAACATGTAACATGCAACTAATATGCTACTGGCTCTACTTCTCTGGTGAACACTGATTACATAGCTGAATCCAATATTCTTAAGCAGTGCTCTGTGCTTTAGGATACCACAATCTTTTTTTTTTTTTGTGATAACATTACTAGTTTAAGGAAGAGTGATTATCATGCTACTCCCAAACTTTCCTTTAAGGTCTAATTGAGTTCAAGTGTCCCCCAGTCCCCTTAAATCCTGAGATTCAGGAACTTATTTTAGGGTGAATATCAGTGTACACAACAATAACAGAAAGAAATGAAATAGAAGTCGACACATCTAAGTGTGAGGGAAATGACATGGAAGCCATGTGAAGGTTAAGCCACTGGAGCTGGAGGCAGTCTGATTACTATTACTAATAGTACTAACTACCCCTCAAGTCCAGTTGAGTCTCCAGGGCACTTCTAGGCATCAGGAATTATCTACTCCAATGTTAGGTAGAAGGAAAGGAAGTTTTGTAGTAGATTGTTGTGGTAAACTAGGGATTACAGGGCACAAGATTATGAACAATGTTTAGCCCATCATAAAGTTTTCATCTTATTGTATTTAGGGTTGGATCCAGACATGGATAGTCACTTAATTTTGGCAAGTCCCTAAAGATATAAATGTTGATTTTATGTGAAACTATGAAAAAGATATTAATTGTATTATACAACCGATATTTGAGTCTACTGAACAATGGTACAAAGAAACAAATGGGTTACCAAACTGAGAGTTAATGTAACTTCAAGGTGATGAAATCATTTACTTAAGTAGCAGAGAAAGTTGTATTGTCATATGGCAATAACTTTCTATAATCACTTTTATAATATAAAGCAGCTTCATCCATAGTTATATTCATGCTATTTTATATTGTCATACTTTGATTTCTGCCATAAGAAATAGGACTTGATTTTCTTTTTTTTTTTTTTAAGATTTATTTATTTATGCATACAGAATGGGGTACAGGCCAGGTGCAGGGGTGGTGAGAGGTTTCACCAGAGACAGAGTTGGGGAGTGAGAGGGGGGCAGAACAGGCAAATTGACTAGGTACAGTGGGGGAGATAGGAGAGGTCTGCTGCGCCATGTGGGTCACCTCTGGGGCCTGGGATCAAACTAGCACTGGCTAGCTTGCAGTGCTGCCCGGACTTAATTTTCTTGCAGAGAAATTATTTAATAATACTCACTTGAGTTCTCTACTGAGAACTACATTAATTCTGTCTTTTAAAGGCCGATTTTTCTCAGGAATGGAGAACCAAGTCTTCCTACCCATAATCACCAAATTCTGTTTACCTATAAAAATCACAAAGAATACGTATATTTGGGTATATATATATAGGGTGTATATATACAGGGTGTATACACACACACATATTTTCACTTATTCAGGTACATGCACAGAAATTTATGTCATAGTGACATCTAGTGGGCTAGATATTAAAAATTTAAAATCTGAAAAAAAAAAAAAAAACACATTAAAACCTCTCCCAAATACAAAAATAGAAAAAATAATTACATAAAAAAACTAAAATTAAGAAATTTACATTATCACTTATAACCTCAACATAGTATTTTTCCCTTTCCTTTTACCCAACTTATACTTAATATAGAGTTTTAATGAATTGCAATCATGTATATTATATAGTTAAGAGCAAAAACTGGGCTAAAGTGCTCAATTGAGTGTGTTTTGTTAGAAATGGCTTATTAATCTTCCCTTATCTATAACAGGGATAACAATAGTTCTTACTTTTAGGGTGGCTGTGTGGAGGTGGAAGACAATGTTCAATATGTAATAAGTACTGTTGTTAAGTATTTGATAACATTATTATTCTTACTTGTGTACTCTGTAGCTTTATGCTAAGTCAAACTTTTAAAGATAGCTAATATTCTACTTAATTAACTTAAAATACTTTCAACTGTGTTCCTATCCTTCTAAGTATAATGTATCTATAAAACCTGCATATAGCTTTCATTTTTCCAATCACTTAAGAGAAGATACTCTTGGCAGTCAGATATTTGTGTTCAAGGAACATACACATTTCTGATTCTTGATGTTTTCTGATTACCAAAAGGAGTGCATATATGTTAAAAGAATCATCAGTTTGATTTTGTTTAAGCAAAACAGTAACACAAACTACAAAATTAGGCAATTTTTATATTGCCCCTAAGTGTCAGAATTTTTTTCCCTCCAAGAAAAAGCTCGCCCTCTCCCAATAATTGATGGTACCCCAAAATATCATATGCACTGCATTTTCAAAGCCACAGTTTTAAGTATTCAATAGAGTTATCAGTTATTAAAACTAAGAGTCAATTCTGACGAGGGAAATGGTACAGTTTAGGTCTAACAACTGGGTGGAGATGATGAGTAAAGATGTAGGTAGCTACACATTAAAAAAAAGAAAAAAAAAGCCAAGACACCAAGTGGGTCAGGTGCTCTTCCAGACCTACTTGGGATTCTTGAAAATAGTTCATATCAATTTTTGAGCCTCAGGCTCTTGCCATCTTGTCCTTCCAATGACTCAAATTCCAAATCCAAGGACCTTGATCTTCCCTGTAAAGTTATTATTCTACACTTACTATTTTCTGACTTACTGTTTTTTGTTTCCTTGCTATTCTTCCTCCTATGACCAAATATACATATTTCTTAGGTTTTAAAGAGGGTATTTCCCCTCCCCCACAGACTCCCCCTTGATTATGCTGTTCTGCCCAGTGTCTCACATTATTAGGCGGATGTCTTAAAGGAACTCTGCAGGCCATCATACTGGGCTTTCATGAACACTGCTGGTGACTGTCGCTTCTTTTGCATACACTTGAAACCTTACAAAGATTGTCTCTTAAGACTACACCCTGTGATCTGTGCCACCATAGATATGGTGGTATTAAATAAAAAAGGGAGTAATTTTTAGGGGGAAAGGATGTCCCAAGGGAGCTCTGCAGAGTTTTCTAGGGAATATGCTTTCCCCTTAACAAAACCACCAAGTTTTCTGTGCCTGAAATTACCCCGGATATCCCACAGGCACCTCAGGTTATCATTACAAATGCATACTATTTTCTACATCATCCAGACTCACAAACAGAAAATCTTAAGAGTTCATCCTTGATGCATTCCTGCGTCTATTTTCCAAATCCTCTCCACTGCCCTCATCTCTTCCAGCGGCTACTTCTAAGGCCTCTTCTGATCTTTCAGAAAACGAATCCATCAAATCCTCTCTGCCTAACTGCCACTTTTGCCCAGTATATCAACTGTACCGGTACTCGCTGAAAATGCCAAATATTTTAATAATAATAATAATAACAACAACAATAATAATAATGAAGGTTCACTGAACCTTGGGAAGTGCAAACAGATCAAAGGTAAAAGGTTCCGCCTTAACTCAAAACTTTTCACTTGTGTAAAATTTGCACTGGTAAACTTTAGCAAGTCCCTTTTCGAATAGCAAACCGTTTAAAGACCCCACATTACCTTCTACGGATGAGGTTGTGGTCATTCTTCGGAAATAACTGTATTCATTTCTACAAGTTAGAGAAAAAAAAAAGCAGTTATACAGAAGGACGAGATAAGCTCAGGCTTCAAGGCGCCAGACAAACGGTGCAGTAGGGGAATCTCTGGGCTAGGACTTTGCTCTGGGCAGGGCTTCGCGGGGAAGAAGCCTCACGGCGCAGGGGCTCCTGACCAGGGATGAAGCCGAGGCCCAGCAAGTCCTGTTATCTCAGGTCCCGCGTCCGATTCCGTTCGACCGCGGAGAATGGGTCGGGCGCGGCATGGCCTGATCGTGGGGGTCCGGTTGCTGACCCAGCCTCGATCCTCCCCTGCTTGGCAGGTACCTGAGCGAGGGCCAGGGCAGGTCCCCATTCTTGCCGATGCCCATGTTCTGGGACACCGCGACGATGCAGTTTAGTGGGCGAACCATGCCAGCGGCGGCAGACACTTGAGACCCTGCTGCAGACACCCAGATTGCCCGCCAAGCTCGGTGCGAAATTGTGGACTCCGCCCCCTCGGTCCCATTCGTTCAGGCGAGACCCCGCCCCCCGCCCCGGCGCACGGCAGGGTCGCGACGTGCTCGCGCTCGCAGACGCCCGAGAGCTGGGGACGCGGGCTCGTGCTCCCTCCTCGACCCAGTGTCCCGCTCCTGTGTCCGCTTCCTTGCTATGCAATGTCAGGTCGGAAACCCGTGTGTGGCGGCGCTGCAGCCCCCGGCCCTGCCTCCGCAAGGCAGGCGGTCTTGAGCAGATTCTTCCATTCCACCGGAAGCCTGAAATCTACCTTCTCCCCCACGGGTGTAGCCGAGAAGGCGCACCCAGCCTCAGACTCCACAGCGCCCCCCGCGTCCACTTTCCAGTCTCAGATGGCGCCGCACGTGGTGGGTTCGGGCCAGGACGGGGCGGGGCCATCGGGGAGAAGGGGCGGGGCTTGTGCCTGGTGAGGGAGGAGGAGGGACGGCGCGCGAGAATTGGTGAGATGTCAGGGCCCAACGAGAAAGGGGCGGGGCCCGGGAGTAGGCGGGAAAAGCCGGCGCGCCTGTTCTTGGTGTGGGGCTGAGTGACGTTTCCTTTGGGGAAATTGAGTGAAAGTCAGGGACACAGGTGTGTAATGATAGACCTGAGGTAGAAGTTCAGGTCTTTTGATCCCATTCTGATGAAGATAGGTGCCCGTAGGATACATCTTTTTAACCTCAGCTCCTCTTTCTTGTTTGAAGGTTGACGTGTTTTATAAATAGGTATTTGGTTAGGTTACTAGAAGAAAAATGCCGCCTAATTTCTAGTGGTTAAGACTGGGGCAGCATCCCTCAATATTTCAGGCTACTACGCGTAAAAGCAGTTACATGGTGTAGTTCTTCAATGTCTCCAGTCCTTGCAGTTCAGACTGTTAATGTCTGCATACACAATTTGGGTGATGAAGTTTCTTTCTTTCTTTTTTTTTTTCTTAAAGCTTTATTTATTCATACAGAATTGGGGAGGGTGAGAGGATTCACCAGGGACAGAGTGTGGAGCAGAACTGGCAGGTTGACGAAGTACACTGCTGAGGGGAGCAGCGGGCGGGTCAGGAGAGGTCTGCCATGCTATGTGGTCACTTCCGGGGCTTTAACCCACTGCGCCACCAGGGAGGGCCCTGGGTGATAAAGTTTCTTAAGTGAAGATGTGGTGATTAGGCATCGGGTCCTTCCTTCAACTGAGTAAAATCTGTAGTTATTTTTGCGTTTTAAAAATATATTTCTTAAAGTCAAGGACACTGCCATAAGGGAAAACCTAACTGCCTCTGGCAGTGTGTTTCTCACTCTGAAGTGGTGGCAGGAGATTGCAGATTGTCCTTTAGCACCTAGAGAGTCTTAATACAATTTTAAGTGACAGCTTGACTGTTTAAAAAAATCTTGTTTCCTTCATTGATATTCATAAAGTGATTGTTCCTCTCCTGTCTTTGTACTTGTGACAGTAACTTATATTTCTGGAATTAATCAAGATTTTATTTTACATCCACCATTAGGCTATTAGGTGAAGGGCTTTTATTTTGGACAGGTTTCTGTCAACACATACATCATAATCTTGTGGCATCTTCTGTGGTGAACATAAAACAGTTAAGTTACAATTAACATTTCAAAAATTATGATTTTTCTTTATCTTAGTTTTATATATTTCTTTATTTTATTTTTTTTTTAAAGATTTATTTATTTGTACATACAGAACTGGGGTACAGGCCAGAGGCTCAGGGGCGGTGAAAGGCTTCACCAGAGACAGAGTGGGGAGCAGAACAGGCAGATCTATGAAGTACACTGCTGAGAGGAGCAGTGGGCGGGTCAGGAATGGTCTGCCACGCCATGTGGTCACCAACCGGGCAGGCAGGAATAGAACTCATGCGGAAGTGGCTTTAGCTTCTCAGTGCAGTGCTTTCACCCTCTGCGCCACCAGGGAGGGCCTATATTTATATTTTAAGATTTACTTATTTATGTGTACAGAACTGGGGTACAGGCCAGTTGTGTGCAGGGTGGTGAGAGGCTTCACCAGGAACAGAGTGGGGAGCAGAACAGGCAGATTGAGGAAGTACACTGCCGAAGGGAGCAGCGGGCATGACAGCAGAGGTCTCCCGCATCATGTGGGTCACCTCCCAGGCTGGGGATCAAACTGGCACTGAACTGGCTGTGGCTAGCTTGCAGTGCTGTGTCTTAACCTGCTGCACCACCAGGGAGAGCCCAATAATTTTATATTTTCTAAACTTTTTTCTTAAAGGCACTTAATTTGACATGAAAGTAGGGTGATTCGAGCTTTGTAATTTGCAATAGGTATAGATTGATTGAGTGAAATAAGGTACCAGCCTTGGCTCAAATTAATTCAAGCTTGACTTGAAAGGTACTGAGATGCCTGACCTATCAGTGTCCATCTTGTTTTTCATGATAATTAAAAAAAAACTTTACCCTGGGTTTTTGCATAGTTAAAAGTACCCTGGGTGATTCTGTGAAGGATGGAAGACAAGGCACTGCTGTCATTCAGAGGTAAGATTTATTTCATATACGTGTTTTGAAATTAGAGCTAACATATCATCATTGTCTTTCCTTCCTGATACAGGTTACAGAAACTGATAGAAGTAAAAAGAGACCTCTGGAGAGTGATGGGCCTGTTAAAAAGAAAGCAAAGAAAGTCCAGGAAAAGGAAAGAGGAGTTGATTTGGTGATGTCTGGGGGAACTGGTGAGTTACAGGGCAATGAATCTTCTTTCCTACCAACTATGGCTATGACATGCTTGTATTCTGTCATGTGCAGAGGAGGCTAATGAATATTTAGGCTGTTTTTTCCCTTTGTGGGAGGAGGTGCCATTGTGCTTGAATAGAGTAGCTGGTGCATAAGTGGTATGTGTGGGAGGTTGGGAAATTGGAATTAAGAGTTTACTGTCTTTAGCTAATGTTTGTCCTGATTGTAAAAGTAGAATATTGTCATCAAAATTTCAAGCAATATCAAAAAGATAGACAGTGAAAGTTCTCATAATCCCTTTCTATCATTGAGGTTAACTTTTATTGAAGTGGAGGAAGGACAGCTGACTCTTAAGTTTGGAGTAGGGTGGGTGGGAGCTGACGGATCACATAATCTGATATCTTTGAACCAGTCCTCTTTATTGGAGAATTTCCTGTTACTCCTTTGCAGAGTATTGGTGCCCAAATTCCTGAGCCTATAAAGCATTTTGTTTTGTGAATAGGGTTGTTTCTTGTTTTTGTTTTTTTTTTCATTATTGATTTAAGGTTGATTATTGTCCATTTTTTTTCTTCTGGATTAAGATTTTTCCCCCTATCATGTATAATTAGAGTCATTGCTTTAGTGGAAAGCTCCCTCTTTAATAGCCCTATGTTGGTTATGAGTTGACATATGAGACTCAAATACTATTGTATTTTCTTCTGATTTGCTAAGAAACAAAGAAATGTCTAAGGACCAGGAGTGTTTTAAAGTCTCTGGAAAAACTGAAAGAATTCTGCTGCGATTCTGCCCTTCCTCAAAATAGAGTTCAGACCTTTCAAGAGAGATTTCCAATTCTACCGAAATGTACTGATTTTGATGATATCAATCTCTTACGTGCAAAGAATGCAGTTTCTTCTGAAGATGCCAAGTCTCAAGTCAGTCAAGAGGTATGTCACTGCTTTTAGGTGAATATTCAACTATCAATAAAGAACTCCTCCAAAACAAGAGTCCTTAACCCAGAATGTACATTAGAATCACCTGAGTTCTGTTTTGTCTTAATACAAAGGAATTCCTCCCTCCGTAAAAAATGGTAAATCAGAATCTCCAAGAACTTAAAAAATAAAATAAAGAACAAACTAATTTTGAACAGTCAGTCAAGTTTGGAAACCACTTCCCTGAGTGAACCCAGAGAACCTAATGGCACTTTAGAGCTTACCATACTGGGGAAATCAGAATAGGTAACTTACACAGGTATTTTGAGGTTTTCAGTTGAAAATTCAAAAGTAAAACAAATGAATGTGAGCTCTTTATGTTTCTACTATTTTGTGATTCACTGATGTTAAATTCAGGAAATTTAACTCTTAACTCCATTGTTGAAATCTACAATTTAGAGTAGTGATTCTCAACCTAGTCTTAAACTACAGTCTCCTGGAGAACGTTAAAAAAAAATCTATTGATAGCAATGACCTTTCCTCAGAATCATATGTAAGTATTCTTCACTGAGAATGGGACATGGGTAGTATTTAAAAGTTCTCATTTTAATGTGTAATCAGTGAAAGCTATAGACTCTACTCAGACTAGCACAATTTTTGTATATAATTTTCAGAAGTTCATACTTCCTTTTACAAATTTCAAATTCTTGAACTCTTCCTTGGACCAGACTAAAAGTCATTGATTTTTTTTTTAGATTGCCAGGAAAAAAGAAAATACATTTTATAATCTGACATTGACTCAATTTTCTGATGCAAATATTTTTACTCCTCAGCTTATTATTATTGCTAGTTTTTGGAATTTGTTGGGGAATATTATTCAAATAACTTTTTTTAGATTACATTTACTGTCTTTAAATGTTTAGAAGTAATTCACCTGAGTGAGGTGGTCTTAAAGTATAGGATTCAAAAGGCTTGTCTATTATAGCTTGGACTTTATTAATTGAAGAGTTTTTTCTATGTCCTCATAAGAGCCCATTTTTGTATTGTTTTATGTCTTGGAATTTTAGATTCACAGTAAATTGGAAGTAACCAGTTAGAAGGGACAGCTACCAAGGACATCATTTAAGTAATAGCTGACTGATGCTGTAGAAAGATAGGACTGAATGGTAAAGAGTTACTGAATGAACTTTAGTGCCTAGGGTCTAAGGCCATTAATGTGGAGATTAACAACCCTGTAAGTCTTGATAGGCCCTGAAATTCCCCTTTTATTGTTCTGATCAACCTGCATTTTGAAGACAAAATTAAATTGAGTTCAAATACTGTCTCTGGAAATTTGAAAAGGAATATAAATATATCTGAGAAGTATTTCTACCCAGATGGGAGGATTATGGGTGCTTTGGTAGTGGGCAGATGTGATGTGTGAACCTTTGTCCTAAATCATATACAGTGTTATAAACCATGCTAGGTCAAAAATAAAACAGTTACAGGAAAAAAATTATAAGTAAATACATCAGTAAATACATCTTATAATCTGACTTTTGATGCATATATTTTTTACTCCTCAGCTTATTATTATTATTGCTAGTTTTTTGGAATTTGTTGGGGTATACTATTCAAATAACTTGCAGCTCTATGTACTTTCCCAACTCAGCTCAATTTTTTATTTTATTTATTTATTTATTTTTTTAAAGATTTATTTATTTATTCATACAGAACTGGGGTACAGGCCAGAGATGTGG